CTCTAGACTATCCTTCAACGCTCAAGTTCGACATGTAGAGGCGTTTTTCGTTACGACAATATGATTACTCATTGAGATGAGCTTCATAAGTGAATTGTAGAGTTCATCTGCGTAGATGGCGCAGCGAAAACAATGCTGTGAAATTACACTTCTGACGATTTAGTTCCCGAAAAGGAGTGTGTTATGCTGACATGGCTCATTTTAGCGAAATGTCTTGCCACGCTGGTTTAAAACGTTTTGCGAAACCCTAAATTTGAAATTTGGGCAATTATACGTTTACATACAGCAATATGGAGATAACCGGCGATATGATAAAATGAGAACGTAGATATACAAACGAACAGTATCAACGGTGAAGCATCCTCCGCAATACGTTTCGGGTGATGTGACGATAAAATATTGACATTACACGTATGAAGTGCTGAGATATTTGCAAAACACCGGACCACAGGTGTATGCAGTGGGGAACGAACACGCGCTGTTGTCCTTACCGGGGAGCAGCGCACTTCACCACTACACCATCCGGGTCCGAGTTTTGCAAATATCTCAGCACTTCATACGAGTTATATTTCACAACATACCCTGCCATTAAGAAGAAAAAGGCAGTAAATAAAAGAGTTAAGATTGACATTAAATTTCTGTTTGAAGAAGATTCGACTCTGTACGACCGAGGAAGCATTCTGTTCGTCCTCGTGTAAATTTGAAAATTCAGGAAGGTGTTGGTACTACGAACAGTTTACTATGAAAGTGTGGTTGAGCGTGGGGGAGATCGGAAGTTGGCAAGAGTCCATAAATCAATGGCCGCTCTCAAACACGGTTTGCGAGCGGGAGGAGCAACGAAACTTTTGAATCGCGACACGGCTGAGTATCACACATCTGCAACGGTGAAGAAGAGAAGACTGCAGGCAGAGCATACAGATGGGTGAAGCGCTCTCATCCCTCGTTGGGATGGTATGGTGCCAGCATCTCACTAAATCATCTAGGAGACAATCAATAGAGGACAAATAACGGCAACTATACATTTTGTGATACAGTACATTGTAAGAAACATGACTGGGTACAATACGTACTAAGCAAAGGAAACGTGGAGCACCACGGTAAAACAGGAACATTGGAGGAGAGCATTCTCCGCAAGTGTTGTTGTGGTTGAACCAGCGCACCAGAAGTGCAGTAGCTCCAGCGAAGATTAAGAAACATAAAATTCGCAGTGAAATACACGACATATTTCACGTAAAAGCAGGCGAAAGCCTGTTAAAAGCGTGGTTGTATGCTTCATGCATCCAAATATATATATATATAGGCACTGGTAAGTAACTAAATGACGTGTGTCTTGCTGGTTCTCCTGCGCACGAAAGTAGGACGCTATTTGTTCTCTTTTACTTGCAAGCAATTTTCCTTATTTCTGGCTTCCGACTAATTGTGGTCCAGAAGAGATGATACAGAGGAACTTCTGAAATAACCTGAAATAAATCAAATAGCGTGGTCTAACGCTGCCAGTGATCGATGCACCAGTTTTGTAGTGACCGTGGCGGCATTAACTAATTTGAAGAAGTTCAGTGCTGGAATAGTCAGTTGAATTGAATATCGGACAATGTAGAGAGTATCGATTAACTGTTGCTGTCTTCGTTTAACTCTCAAAGGTAAATCTGTGCCTTGATCGTAATGTTTACTATTTCACAGTTTTGTAATATATATATACGTATTTACTCATTGACATTTGGGAAGCACTGAAGTGAGAGTTGAGAAATAGAAACTGTTGTAGAAAAAAAAGTAAATAATACCCTTCCATGAAAAGTTGTAGTAGGCAGCTAATAAAAAGTTAACACAGTGGTTTCGAATACGGCTTCAGCTTAACTAGGTTCAATGCCGGCTTGTGGCAGATCAATCCCGTTAAGGAATGATTGTTGATGACACTGATTATTAAAACTAGCTGAGAGGCAGGTGAAACAATGGACCCGCATGGTGTGATGGTAAACGCGTTTGTCCCCGGAAAAGGTAACAGCGCGTTCGTTCCCTACCGCAGATACTTGCTATCCGGAGCTTTGCAAATATCTCAGTATCATTGTTTAGTTTTCATTTTCTGCCTACTACAATTTTCAAGGTCGGGTATTACGCGAAAGACAACCCCACCGATGTTGAGACATTTGCAAAACTCTGGACCGCAGGTGTATGCAATGGGAAACGAACGCACTATTGTCCTTTCCAGAGACTAACGCATTTACCACCACACCACGCGGGTCTCGTAGGTGTCTGCGGTGAGAGTTTTACAAATAACTCAGCATCGTTGTGGTTATCTCAGCATTGTTTTGGTTTTATTTCGACATGATTTGGGTTGTATTTAAGATAACACCCTACTTTGGCAAATTGTAGTAGGCGGTGAATAAAGAGGTAGCATAGAAATTGTAGTTCTATGGTATTAAAATTAATCTGTAGGCCATAGTTGTCATAAAAACTCACGACTTGGGTTCTACTTGAGGATGCTAAGAGCTGACTTGCTCCTTTGAAAAAGGTGGCGCAAGGTGTTGAACTGTTACTTGAACGAACTTGTACCTGCGTTTTTCCCACGGGCGCCTCGTGATTGTTGCCTTGACGGCGCTAATATCAAACCTGAGTAATCACCTGAGTTAAACCGTTTATAGCAATAATGATATAATAATAGCAACAAGGCGAAATCGAAACGCTACAAGCGGCGAGATGGTAATAGAACTAATAAATAAGGATAAGATAATGAGAAAGACGTCACCTTAGGGTAAGAGAGTAACTGTGTTATAAGCTATTAGCTTAGTGTGAGAAAGAGGCTTTACATAAAGTACAAATTGACCAATAATGGTAAAGGACAAGTGGTAGCGTAAACAGAAATGAGAGCAGAGGGTTGGTAGCACGAGTGAATAACTGTAATACGCAGGCGTGCTTATAAAAGGGAATGCTGTCAAATCGAATACAATAATGATAGTGCCATAAAATTAATACGGTGGCAGCAAAACAAAAAAATGAAATAACTTTAACACATGTGTTATTATTAAGACGGCATCATATGTAATACGTAACAATGCTTAGTGCTGCTTATATTTATGGAGAGCCCAGCCACTGAGATCTTCAGTGAGAGGTGAAACGAGAATGTAAAGGCTAAGGCAGTAATAAGTCCAATGAGATGTTCATGTACGACGACACTGCAAAGAATGTTCTTTATCCATTGGTGATACGATGTGGTGGTAAGCTTAGATACTAGGAAAGGTCAGTAGCTACAAATGAGATTTTCAGAGGTTCCGTGCTATGAAATACCTTAGAGTGATTTGAGGAAGAAAGCAGAACGGAGTTGCCAAGCGGCAGGAGCGTTTTCGACTGAGCCTCACTAGCCGACCGCGGTCATTTTATACTGCCTCGGAAGAAGGCAAATATGCACGGTTGTTGACTACTACGTCGCCCTCTTAAAATCACTATTATGGTGGCAAATGTTTTGTGAAAGGCATAAACAGCATTTGTTTCAGGAAAGTCGCGCTTTTCTGAACTAATATTCCTTGTCGTGGGTGATCTGCCATCGTCGTTGTTGTTGCCGCGGAAAATGCTTGGATCATATCTGGCTAGGTGTTAATCACTAATAGAAGGGATAAAGAATGAACTTACAACAAAGAATATTGTGTTCTATTGGAATATTTTTTTTTGGTTGACTTGTCGATACTTCGTTAGGGAAAGCTATGGCCAAGACCACCAACTTAGAGAACTGTTGATCGTTCCATCTTTTGCTGTCGTCGCAACAAATAATTGTTATCGTAAGGATTCGGCTTATATTTAGTCATATAGATATCCATAGAATAACAGATGATTGGCTTCAATTCTTCAGTAGTTGTGATGACCTTTAGGCAATATATAGAATGAGGGACATCGAAATCGCGGGGATCAAAAAAAAGGTCGAAAGAGTGCTAACGTCAGTAAAAACTGTTGGTGCAGTGTAGTACTAATGGTATAATGTGATATTGTAATTTATTGCTGTAGTGATGTGGTAATTTAAAAGCCGTTGTTTACGGTATAAAAGTTCTCTTGCTCCACAATGGTGAAATTCAGATTTTTTGGAGCCAGTAAAACACATTATTCCACTTCATTACTTTAAGCTCAAGTATGGAATAGCAAAGCAAATGAACGGGCGGAATTTCTTCCTGCATCAGTAGGTGGTGTTCTCCATCGTCTATGTTTATTACTGTACTCTATTCCGGCTGAAATTATTCCTATGTGCGTTGTAAACTAATTCCTTGGTACTAGGTATGCTACAATCTATTATTTTACATTTATACAAAAGCACATTCCTTATTAGGAGCATGGATTAAAAATTTCAGGTGCGAAGGTGCTTCACCGAACAGCCACTTGCATAGAGTAGGTTGTACGGGCTATGTGGGAATCTGGGAAGAAATTACTCATAAGCGAACATGTTTCCATGGGTACAATCTATATATAAGAATCACTAGCCGTAACTAACTGGGAAATGCAGTACTTAGAAGATTGTGGAAGGCGTGTGTGGCGTAGTGGTCGGAGGCGCCCTGCAATACACTTCCATCCTTCTGGGATCGAGAAATTGGTACCCAACTCGTCTGGGAGGATGGCAGTACCGGCTCAATACATCGGCCAACGACCGCAAGTCAATATGATTTCAGGTCAATCAGGCGCTGGGAACAACTGGGCAAAAGGACACTTTGCTGAAGATGCCGAGCTCATTAACACTGCGCTCGATGTGGTAAGAGAAGAAGCTGACAATTGCGATTGTCTTCAGACACTTTTGTAGGAATTTTTTCTGTTGCCTTAACAAGATAAAGCTGCATGAATCATGATGAAAAATCGTTTGATAAAAAGTTGAAAAAAGGAATCAATTTTACGAAGGTAACACCCCGAAAAGTATCTGTGCGATTCGGCGAATTTCTGATTATACCTGCTTACTCGTTTTATAGAACATTGGCGTTTTTTTATTTCTGTCTCAAGATGTACTCTTTTCAACGGTTTTTTATAATTAGGGATTTCAAATGACGCATTCTCTCGGAGGTGGCACTGGTCCTGGGATGGGCATTCTGTTGATCTCAAAAATCCGCGAAGAATATCCTGATCGTATCATGAATACGTTTTCGGTGGTGCCCAGCCCGAAGGTTCCAGACACAGTAGGCTACTAAATTGTTATTTGCCGCGCCAAAGAATTTGAAGCAGTTAAATCGGCTTGGTTTTGGTGTGTTAAGGGTTAGTTTAGAACATTAAATCTGAGACGTTTTTAAAACACAACAGTCGGTACCGAACTTGGAACTTGCCCTGGAAGAAATTACTTTTCACAATCCAAATGGGAACACTCCAGCCTGACTATCTTCGGTCTCCAGGAAAAATCGACTAAACCAGCATTCTGCGACACTCAAAATGAAATAAAAACTCTTTGACAGTAGCCGAAGCTACACGTTAAGTTGGAAGAACTTCATGGACGATGGATGCGAGAAAACGGATCGAATGTGAGAAGCGCTGGTATCCACACAATAGACGTGAAGGCGGGCCCCATACAAAAAGTCTGTAAACCATTTTATAAACGAAATAACAATTCATAAAGCCAAATCTTTCTGCCTGAATGAATCTCATAAGCATCATGGCATAAAAAAGTGTACTTTCTTTTTCTGTGTTTTTCGACATTTTTCTTTACCTTTTCTCTTTTTACTGAGGCGAGCAGATCTTCTGAACCTCTTTTGTTAAAGGTATTGGAGTCGTCCACTTCCTTATAAATTGCTTAAGAGGAATTGGTAATTTTTTTTGTTTCTTTCCGGCGCGCTGCTTTCAGTAAAACATATTATAAAAATATGCAAAGAAAAGGGCAACATGTGAAATATTATTTGCAGTAAGTTCACGCCTAGGCCTAATACGATATTTGCTTCCGCACATTGAAGTTGAGCACTCCTACCTACGGCGATTTGAACCATCTTCTCTCTGTCACAATGAGTGGCTACATGCTTACGTTTTCCCAGACAAGTAAGTGATTAGGAAAAAATCTTCTTGCTTCTCTTTTTTATGGAGCTTACTTCTTCTTACTTATAGCTTAATGCCGATCTTCTTAAATTCGCCGTAAAGATGGTGCCATCTCCTCGTCAACACATCTTTATGCCTGGTTTTGCGCCGTTAACCTCAAGAAGCAATCAGCAGGTCTGAATTTAAAGCAATTCATTTAGCACATTTTTACAATAAGTTATCTGTATAAACTTTTTTGCTCAATATTTGGAGGACCGCCTCTGGAGGAGAATAATGGGTAGGTCAGTGTTGATTTGCAACTCTATTAGGTCTAATGCTAAAGTAACTTTGCGGAAAAAATTCGAAAACCATTTGAGTAAATCGCATAGCACAGCTTCAATAGCGCACGCGAGTATCGCTAACGAACATCAAACAGGTTACAGTAGGATAAATAATGTGCCGGAAAATTCAAGGTCAACCGTGTTAGGTGGCATGATTGTCCCTGACGGTGCGCGCTCGTTATTAGAATTGGGACCGAGTTTCTCACCATCTGAACCCATTTCTAGGATAATTTTGCGTAGGGTCGCATGTAGTTTACATGAACTTCAAGATAGATTCCGCAAAAAGCCAGAGATGAAACGCAAAATAGGTACGAGAAACACCAAGTGGGGGCCTTACCGATACCACCATTCCCTCAGTCGTTCTTTAGACAACAAGAGCCGAATAACGACGTTGATGTTAAATTTCGGATGTTTACGAATAAAACTCTCAAAGTCTTTAATCACTATCGCACGAAAAGATACAGCTCCAACCTCACTGAAGTTCAAAAACATGGTATGCGAAAGATACGAGAGCTGATAAAGTTGAAAAACATGAGACTAACCGTTAGCGATAAGGGTGCGCAGTCTGTCGTAATTTCCCATCAGTTAGATGTGGAGATAACGAAAAAGCATCTTGAAGATGCTTCACTTTATCGCCCATCATCTGAGAAGGAATTTAAAAGTAAATACCGAAAATTAAACCACGAATGGGTCAAAATAGCAACGGCTGCTGGTTTAAAACCATCGGTTATCTCTTAACTAAAAGTTGGCTTACCAACATGTCCCGTCCTGTACTTGCTTAAAAAAACTTATAAGTTAGTATCCAGCTGTGATCTAGCGTCTACCGATCCATCATTGTTTAAGGTTAGACCTATCATTAGCTGCGTAGAAGGGCCAACGGATAGGAAAACGCAGATTTCAGCCCTAATATTTAACCAGTTGTTGAAACACATTTTAGCCCAACACTCAAATGAGAGGGTTGGCAATGGGGCAACGACTGGCGCCAAGTCTTGCCATTGCTTTTATGTTTAAGGTAGAAGCACGAAGTGGTACCGAAAGCTAAGTGGTGAAAACATCTTGGCTCATTACCTTTCCTCTCACCCCTCTCACAGGTAAAAGGCGCTTGTAAGAAACATGTTTCGAACGCAACCAACGTGTACACGGGAAGAGAGCAGAGAGAGGAGTCTCGGAACATGGCGCGGCAAATAGCCATTTCTAATGGCTACGAAACTGTAGCTCGGGATAGGTGTAGGAGGAAACCTAGGCTCCCAAACGGCAACTCTAGCGATAGAAAGGCTCCCCTACCCTTCACCTCAAATGATTTAAGTGCAGCTATAAAACGCTGCTTAAGAAGGACGTAGTTGAAATGCCACCGAGTAATCTTAGGCGCCAGCTAGTTCGTAACCGCCTATGTGACCGTCTATGTGCAACTAAAAATTGCATAATTTGCCCCAGTGGTAGAGACGGTGATTGCATGAGCTCGCTTATAGTTTACCTAACCTCCTGTAAGACGTGCGGTGACGAATACAATGGCGAAACGGGCAGACCCCTCTGTGTCCGCATAAAGGAACACCTAGCCGGCAAACGTCAACCAAATACTCCTCTAGGCACGCATAGGATCCAGAGACAAAACGGGGAGGACCTTGAAGTACGTGTCACGGTCCTCCCATAAGAATCGAAAACATAAGCTCGCAAAACTCTCGAGGAGTCTGTGATATTGGGCAGTATATAAGCCTACTATTCTGAAGGAGGGACACATTACGCTTCCATGTGAATTCTGTGCGGTTGGTCTTCACGCGACATACTTAGTGGAAGCCTCATAAAAGCGGTGAGTGTACAAAGCTGTATTCAATGTGATTGAAATCTTGGTTTAGCGTTTTCTTTGTTTGCTTATGGAGGTGTTTGGCCGAATAGTTTGCTGTCAACTTGACCTTTCCAGGCTCTGAGGAAGGTGAAATCCGCCGAAACGTCAGTTCATTTGTGAATAAAGTTGTTCGCATTTGCTCAACAAGAATACGAAGAATTACTGTCTGTATTTTATTCATGCAAACAGATAATATCCATGCAACGGCGCTAAAAAAAACCAGTGTTGACAAAATACTTGATGTAACATAATTTTAACATGCTCACAATCAAGAATGAGCCTGTGCAGTTGAACAAAAATTCGATCTTGCATTTACGCACAAAACAAAGCCAAAGGCTACGGTGTTGCAAAAAGGCATTAAGAAGTGCCTTCATGTCCGTGTTGAGCTGATGAATCTAATAAAACAGGGCGGTTTTTCCTTGAAATCGGTGGATATATTTAATGCGAACTTTGAATAATACACTTCGTCAATAACTAATAAAATTTAAGTGATATAAAATAATAAAATAATTAAAAATAATTAAAGTACTTACATCTTCGAAGGTGGGTTTATTGCGATTACCTCACTATTCCTGGTGATAAACTTAATGCTGACATTTTTGTAGAAATCTCCTGCAATCTTGAACGCGCCGTTGGGTACCTTAAGAGGTCGTCCAAATATGGGGAACCGTCACGAAAATGGTTTGTCTCAAATCTAAAAAGGAATTTGGATAGATAAGTCAAAGCTATCTGATGAAAAATGCGAAATCATTGTTGTAGTGTAAAGAAATTTACTTGCTTACTGAGGTACTTAAAAGCCCCGTTTTCACGAGTTATGCGGGCAGTGACATATTTTCCACGCTCTTCTTTGCCTTGCGATCGTCAACCATGGTGGTGATTTGATTCGAGCATGAGGGCGGGTACGAGTCGCACACCGTGATCAGTGAAATAATCGCGGATGCGAATGCAAATAATCGGCTTTATTTAAAACATATTTGCCTACCGTTTAGGTGGTCGTCATGGAGACGTCTGCATTCTCGCGGAGTTCCAGTCTGCAGTTCTTTCCACACATCTGTCGGCTCTTCTTCTCACTACATGACTATTACTTCTATGTTTCGTTATTGATGTATATTCTCGTGGATTCCGAAGATGACAGCTTCGATGGTCTGAGTTCCACATTTCGACTAGATCTTGTTTGCGCCTGTTATACTTCAGAAAACATCGTTTAAGCGCTTTGTGAGCAGTGCGTAGAATCATTGACGTGGTTGAAGTATAAGTCCATGTCTTTCCTACATAACTGAGCACTGGGAAGGTTGCTCAACAAAAAGGCGAGCGCGGATTTAATAGTCCATCAGTTGGTCAGAAGCTTCTTTGAGTAATCCGAAACACGACCCATGCTGCTCTACTTCTTCTGTATAGTTCTTCCTTCATGTTGTTCACCATGTTCGTTGAATGCCTTAAGCATACGTACGAGGTGGTCTCTGAAATCAGAGAACTATCCAGTTTAATTTGATCACCTTCGCATAATGAATTTTCCATGATCTGGGTGTTTTCCGATTTACCGTAGTCTGGTACCTTTCTCGCTTCGCTGCTCTCACTGAGCGTCGTCTCTGCTTCGTTTATGTTTTCTGAGAAAATGACGATGTCGTCAGCAAAACGATGATTCGGTAGAAATTTTTCATCAATGCGTGCGTATTTCTCATCGCAATCGAGTGACTTTATTGTCTAGTACAGTGCAGCAAAAAAGAGCTCTGGTGATATGCTGTCTCCTTATCGAACTCTTTTCTATAGCTACGGTAATAGGTCGACGGGAAAACAGAGTTTTGGTAGTTAAGTTCCTATACCATTCAGACTGAACCTTTTGTAGGTTACATTCGTTTCGACACTGCCAAACGGTTTTTTATAAGCGACAAAAGTCAATGCTTCAGTGAACCTGGACACGGTTTGAATGTGGTGCATGTGGTTGCGTGTGCCCCTTTCAATGCCCTTGATTCACGCGAGAGGTTAATAATCGTGAAGAGCCGGTGAAGTACGATCAGCAGGCATATCAAACGATAACTCAAAAAAACGGCATTCTGTAAACCATGGCATAAATAATCGGTATTTTTATATGCATTCTTTGGAACTGCCCTTGTTGAGCTGCGTTGGTAAAACCTGTCGTTGTTGCTGTTGCTCGGTGGCTAACGTTTTTCGCTTTCATAAGAGCCCAGACGTATTTTTTGGAAAAGTGGCCTTATAACATATAACATTTTTTAACATATCTATAGTATTAATAAAAATTTAGATATAAATAAAAATGGAATAAGAAAAAGAAAAAGGTCCCGGGTGAGGCAGTAGTCGGAGGCTCCCTGCAACACACACGTGGAAACGATCTCCGCGCCCATGGCCCACCACGCCCTCCATTTCTCCGGCGGTCGGTAAACTGCTACAAGACTTCTCTGGGAGGATAACAGCACTGGCTCGATACATCGGTAGGCCACCACGAGTTATTGTATAGACCAGATATGCATTCAATCTCCTCCAAACGATGTCTAATGAAGCGTCGAATGCATAGAGCATCCTTCAGGATTTGATTAACGCCGAGAGCTTTATCCCTTATTCTTCTAACATATAAATGAACTCTACTTGGCTTAAATGCGGAATACCCGAGTGTTCTCACGTGGGATGAAGAGTCAGACCCACCTAGATCAAAAAATCAATTTTAAAAAAGTGCTACGCTACGTGTGATAGCAAGGCATCAGTCCTTCCGGCTCATCTTTGGGCTTTTGAAACTTATTCAACCTTGGGCTGAAACATCAAGAGTCATGCGCTTTGATGTTTTGGACTCCTGAGCAAGGTAAGGTCAGTCGCTTCAAAATCATCACCATTGCATTTTTGTGCCCTATGGGTACCTATAGGAGTGCATTGTCGAATGTTAAGTTTTCCATGTCGATGTTTTTTTTACACGGTCACAGAGTAGTTTACTCGTTTTTCCAATGTATTCTTCTCCACATGTCTTGCATGAGGGTAACTATATCGCACCTGAACTTATGCAATCCTCGTCTCTTCTGCGAGTAATAGACGACAACGCCTATACAACCGATATTTTTTCACTATGTCGGTCTTTTTGTTTTTTGTTTTTTATGGGGCGATTGTAAAAAATTTGATGCAATTCACTATTTTAAGAAGGATGTGAAGATTAGCATTTGACAAAACGGTTTTAGTAGTATATGTGTAGTATATGTGCAGAGTAGGAAACAATTTCCATGAAGTGTGTGTTCATAAGATCCGATGACATTGACGTGAGATTTTGTTGCCTCTCACCTGCAGTCTCCTTGCCCGACGTCATAAATGGGAGCCTCCAGTGTGCGGCGTACTGGGGCTGCTCTATTGCAGGTCGTGAACTTTGATCTTCCCTGGAGTCGTGACTTAATCTTGCAAACGCGCTTCCAGTTTTCCACCACGGTGTGAATCTGAGAAACGTGTCTTGTCGGCAACGATTATTCTGTTCGTTCTTATTAGTAGCTGATTCAAAAACAATATTAAAGCTAAAATCGAAAATAAAAGTAGGAATGAAAAAAATAACCGATCACTGAAGAACCACGTGAAAGCCGAAGGGAAGTTAATAAAGCATTTATTGTAAAGGATGCACCATAGAATATTGAAAAAATTTATGAGACTGCCATTAAACATTAGGAAAAAAAGCGGAGCGGTCTCCCTTACTTTCTCGTGCTTCACCGAATTTTGTGATCGTGTAAATGTGGCCCACATTACGCAGTCCTCTTCGGAGCCCTGCTTTTTAACATTTCTACCCCTCGTCCAATTTACTGTCAACCCTCTATAGGATGAGTCGAGGCGAAATTTATAGACCACAGACAGCAATTAGATTGGGCGGTAGGTGGCGATATCGCAGAGGTTGGCCTCCCTGAACAATGAGACCGCTTTGCTTGCCTTTCAGTTAATAGCCACTTGGCATTCTAACAGAGAGCATGTGAAGTATTTACCAAGTATATTGATGAGGCTTGCCGGAAGGCTTTTAAGGTTATAGGTCCTAATTTGTCCAATGCAGGTCTTGTTCGAACCTTCGCGATAGCTTTGGGTTTGGGACTTCGTTTTCTGAATTTAGCAGCTTTTCCACATCTTCGTGAAAATGAGTTCTTCCAGGTAGAAGGCGATAGCCTGGTTTTCTGTGGAATTTTTGAAGAGAACAGAGTCATCGGTTAGGTGAAACCTTCGATTTACTATGTGGTCTATCTCGTTATGATATTCTCCAAAGAGAGACTCCTACGTCCAGCGGTGAAAGTGGATGTCTGGAATTACCAGCTAGCATGAATGGTCCTGATCGTCATGATAAGCTCAGACAGCCCTCACCCAGCTCGTTCCATTCTAATCCGTAAGTCCCAACGTGACGCTCTTCAAATGTTCTTCTTGGTCCAATCTTTGCGTTGAAATCTCCAATGATGACCTTAAAGAATGTACGGTCTTCTCTGTTCTAGTTTTCCAAGTCCGTATAGAACGCATCGACTTCGCCTTCGTCATAGCCTGATGTCTTTGCGTACACAATGAAAATTGTCAACGCCTGTATTGTTCCACATTTCTTCATGGAGAACGCCAACGTCGCCTCCACTTTCACATGTCCCGAGGAACAGTTCATCTTCGGTGTCATAGACGGCGTTGAATGAGCGATGTCTTCTGCTCTTTGCTAGTCCGATTACGTCGTACCTAACCGTTCAATCCAGCATGGTAAAGTCCTCTGTGAAGAATACAGATGCAAGTGAGCGTGCATTGTATCGACAAATCGTCGCTTTGACCCCCCGCGATTTGGGCGGCTTGCAATGGCACTGTGATTTCAACAACCTCGCCGCACTCGTCCTACAAAACACCGCCTTACACTGAAAAGATAAATGTGTGAGTAAATCTAACGCTTATTAATCATTCTACGGTTTTTCTAATTAGTAGTGTTTCTTTTTAACATTGCTGCTACGCGTGTGATGTTAACCATGCCTGCTTACTTATCCGACCATCACTACACCGAAAAAGAAAATGTTTGCCTTTGTTTGAGGCACTATTTTGTCATTTCACATATCCGTTTATTTCTATGTTAATTTTTCATTTTTAGTACCGTGCCATCTCCGTACCAGAGTTGATACAGCAGTGCTTTGATGCGAAAAATATGATGGCGGCATGTGACCGACGTCACGGAAGATATCTAAGAGCAGCTGCTATATTTAGAGGTAGAATGAGCATGAAGGTAAGCGGAAACTTTCTATTCCTTATACATTTCGTTAAACGAAATTATTTAACCATATGTGTGAAATAACGTTCAAACTATTCGACGTTGTACTCAGATGTCTGCAAACGTAAGGCCATTTTTCCTTATATTCGCAATGAGAGTAGGTGAAGCTCAGTGGTTAGAGCTACCTTGGTGTCGATTGTATCATATTCACCTTTTAACCAAACCCCTTATCTCTTAGAGGTTTATGAATTAGTGCCAGATTTGTCTGCCAAGGTATAAACACCTTGACGATGACTTGATATATCGTTTGGTGCTTGTCAGCAACTGTAGTATTGTTCATGTGTAATTAGTTGGTCAGCCACTTTTGCGATGCTCAATAGAGTTCGAGGCTTGATGTATCTTTAAGGAATTGATAAACGACGGAGAAGCTGAACTTTTCCATTCACTAGACTGTGCCCACGAAAAATTAACGGAATCTCTTTTCTTCATACCGCATTCTCTTCATTCCTTAGCCTTTCTGCCACATAGCTTTAATAGTTAACATATGTTTTGTTTTATTCAGCACTACTGATGTTGGTTCTCTTTGGCATCCACCTTAGGCTTTTGTCTTCTTTTGACTAATTGAATTAATCTAGGCTGTTTATACATCGTCGATATTGTTTGTGCTGAGCATAGCCCATCTATTGGAGCAACGCATAGTTCTGCTAATATTTTCCTTTCTATATGAAACGGTGAGTGTGCGAACAATTTATGTCAGAACCTTATGGTTTCCATCATTCTAGTGAACAGTTGACATCTTCAGGTGAACTAAAACAGATGGCTACTACATCTGTCCGCGTTATACACAATGAGTTTTGCCAATTTTCCTCTTCGCTAAGCTTTTGCTCATGCGTGCCAACTTGATTGTTAAGGGTCCTATCCTAATTTTCAACGTTCATTCTTCCTTAATGTTCTTCCTGTCATTCGCCTGAGAAGTACCTCTATGTGTACCTACTATATTCGACCAGTAGACGTAATTTACTTTTTATCCACCAATTGCTCACTTAAGAGCTCATTTATAAACATTTTTATAAATTATTTAGGACGACACCATAGTTTTGTTTTTTTCATCACCACATGCAATAGACTGAGGTCGACACAGCTCTCCACTTTCTAATTAATCCGCTCTAGTCTTAATAGCTTACATGGAAACGATCCAGCATCCGTGGCTACCTTCCAATGCACCATAGTTCTTTGGGTTTTCGTCGTCTCGTGTCATTTTTTTACCATCCAGTGATTACATCAACCTCACTATTCCATTATGCAATTCATCTGCCTGAGTGAATCTTGAAATTATTCAGATTGAATGTATTATAAAGCAAACCAGCTTATATTTTTGGATATGGGCAAACAGGTAACGGATAGATGTTTTACAATCGCTTTCTCAGCTATACCGACTGTTAGTTCATTAATCATATCGTCTCCAATGATCTAAGCCAAGGGCTGTAATATGGCTCCCTCTATTTAAACCATCTTTTTTTTGTCACTGCTATCTTGACATAGAAGTGTCTTGACGAAGAATTGTACTTGTAGGCAACCCGCCATTTTGATACTGTAGGGTATAGGTAAATTAGGCTAACACGAATGCAATGCCTGCATAGACACGTGCATGAAGGAGATATATGAAGTGCGTGTCAATCTGCCTGAGTCAAAACGAAGAATCACTCCGTGGTTCTGCTTACTTCTCAAGCCAAGTATAAGGCCGATTTTGCTATGGGCTTAACCCATTATTCGCCTTCTGTTAACACGCCACATGGCCTCGCTAGTAACCGAAATCCCTTAGCGAGGAGAATCTTGTAATCTTTGCTTACTGTTGACATCAAACCGCCTGTTTGCCACCACAAGTTACGTTAGTGAATTATTGCATCGCTTCCCGTTGGCCATAAAATAGTTAAGAGTTAAGAGTAAGAAGACAATTATAAGACTTTTTTTGGCCACCCGTCAAACGTATTTTCTGTAAATAGAACAGGTAGCTCCAAATTACTTCATTCTCTGTCATATTTTTGCAGCATTCATAGGAATACTGGAACGGGACTTTGTCTAAACAGCGAATATAAGTGCGAGAGTTTTGACAAATGGCAGCGGAATTATGCTTAATGCATTCATTGTATCTGTGTACCACTCTTTTTTTTCCTTCTAATTTCGTCCGAGAAAAGCTAACGGGCGTTGCATTAGTTTTCCAGAATTGTCTTTATTCTTTCTTTTATAGAGGGGTTTTCTAGAAAAAAAATTCTAAAACTGAATTTACTCGTATATAATGCCGAGATATTTGCAAAACTCCGCGCCGCAGGTGTATGCGGTGGGGAACGAACACGCGCTGTTGTCCTTTCCGGGCAGTAGCGCACTTCACCACCACACCATCCGGGTCCTTCGTTTTGCCTGTCTCTCAGCTAGTTCTATCGATCTTTTGCTATCAGTAATCATCCGTCAACGGGATTGATCTGGGGAGCCCAAATCGGCATTGAACCCAGTTAAGCTGAGGCTTAGTTATAATCACAATCTTAACCCTTTTATTTACGGTAAAAGGGTTAAGACTGAATTTACTGCCTGAACAACAAAGATGAACGTCCGAAACGTGTTAATTGGATTAATAAAACAATTTTTTATCTTAACAGAAGAAGCGAGGCAAAAAAACGTGGATGAAGGGTAGGCTTAGGCACTAGGCAGCTTAGACTTCGGCTTCGGCATGGGAAGAAGTTTTCGAAGAGTTTTCCGCCATTTCCGTCTATATCATTCAAGCAAGGAGAAAGGTTGACATTTTATTTCTTTAGGAAGTGGACGAGCAAATGTTAAATATACAAAACAAAAATTCATCGCACTTCGTCGGCTGGATTCCAAATAATGTTAAGGTAAGCTGTTAAGTCAGTGACCAAGTAAGGTGACCATTCATTTAGTTATTTGAAATTTTTGGGAAGTGTAGCATTATCAGGGAATCTGTGGTTTCCTCGAATTTTTTTTATAGTTCAGCTGATAATGTTTATATATAGATATAAGAATATGACGAGATTTTCGAGTTTTCTTATATTTTGACACTGCGTTTTACTATCTCCACATTTTTAAAGACTGCCGTTTGCGATATTCCTCCACGTGGATTGAAAATGTCAACAACGTTCGTCGGTAACTCGACTGCTATTCAAGAGGTATTCAAGAGAACTGCTAACCAATTTACGGGTTCGGGTTGTTCTTTTGACTTTTCATCATCAGAAAGCTCTAGTGTGTTTTTTCGAATCATGCAACAGATTTTGCCCAATACAAACTGCCGCCTTTGTTGGAGTATTATTTCTCGGAAGTGGTAGATGAATGTTGTTGCTAGGCCAACAACAGGAAATGAAAATGAAAGCAAGAATGCATGATTTTTAGTAAAAGAGTAGCTAAAGAATACGGTTTGATTTTCCGTTGCTTAGAATTGTACCTAAGGAATGAACGGTGAAATGGTTTGCCATTCTTACTCCTACAAGTTCGCTTACACTACAAACAAATCCATGACGCCCTTCGAAATACTGGAAAAGTTAACTGGAAGAATTTGTGTACACTTATAAGTGTAATCTTTTTTTTTCTAAAGCTCCTACCTGCCTTTCAATAATTAATTTCTATGCAAAAAGATGAATAAATCATAGATGCATTTGCTGAAATAACAAATGCTCCAACTAACTGATAAGAAGAGAATAATGCTTTTTGCCAACAAAGCACATATAATATGATATTATATGATATTACATATGATATTTGGTTGGTGATAGCGTATCAGATCCTTTAAACTGAGGATGAGGTGCACACTACTAAGTCATTTTTCTTTTCTTCCCTTATTAATTAATTCTGGTGAAAATTTGCCGAATCTTAAGGATAGTGGACTTCGGTACGCAGTTGAGCACACAAATAAACGATTTAACAAACAGGTCACAGCATCGAACAGTAAGGATAAGTTGCGATGCCTGTTATATGAAAGGGAGCATGACCAGTGTAAGTGTCATGAGTTAAAGAAAAAAAGCACGATTCAAGTAGACTAATTTGTCATAAATAATTATCTTGAGTTAACAGACAGCAAGGGGCAACCGCATAAATGTACTTACCTACTGGCATTGTCGATCAGCAGTGGGTGAGTGATGGGAAAGAACTGGTCATGCGCTGCCATTCGTCAAACCAAAGAGAACCGCTTTCCATCAACCGAATTGGGCGCAAACGACACGATGAAACGGAGTCGAAGTAGAAGTGACTGAACACGACGACCACATGTTATCTTGAGTTAACAAACAGCAAAAGAGCATTCATATGTAACATAAACATCGCTCTTGACCACGGCACACTGCTGGCGGTATGTTTTTCGCAAGAATCTTATGTGCACTTGTCCACTATTGTATAAAGTAAATTAAGTTTTTAGTTAGGTGGTGAAATGATAAGCTTTCAAAAGACTAGCTTCATTTCGGCTTCATCGAAATCCGAAACTTCGATGCACAACTTGTAATCTTTGCTACATCGCCTTATAACAGAAAATTGCGTCATGAAAGCTTTAGGTTAAATTCAACATTGACGCGCGTGCTGCTTTCTCATAGCTATCGAAGAACGCGCTTTCAAAAAGTTAACTCCTAAATTCTAGAAAAATCTAAGAAATTGCAATACTGCCCATTGAAGAAGACAACAAATTCGAAAAAACATTTATTTTTGGTATCGATTTAATTAAAACAGCCTCCAGACTCGTCATCATGCTTTTTCGAATCCTATTGAAACTTGGGAGAGTTTGAATGTGAATGATTTCTACTATCTAGTTGAACCAGCAGAGTAGCGCCGTTTCTTCGGCGATTAGTGGACAAGTCTGCCACCAAGCATTATTGCCTGTAGAGTAATAAAGGTGGTGACTTGTACCGGTCTAGGTTGACGATCAGGTGAAGTCGTACGATCGTTTGGAGCACAGCACACTGCGCTACAACGCACATATAAGACAAATGTGGAATTTGTGGTTAGAAAGACCACATCGAAAACAGTGTCGGACGTCAACACTAATGTAAAATGGTATACCAGCACATTTAGCGTGTATACAGGTACGCTAGCACATCTAATCATTCGTCAATATTGGCAGCCTGAAAAGCTACAGCTTGTTTATAAACCTCCAAAAGTTATATCACGGTGCAATATGATATCAGCGAGCAGTCGTTCTATTTAAATAATATCTTAATGAGAGCTCTGTATTTATTATAAAACAGAGCCACATCCACGGCTGAGTTACACGCTTGTCTGACATATAAAATAACCTCTGTCTAGTGAGCGGTATTGTGTGAATGAGAACTTTTAAAAGATGTACGGTGACATTCTATAAAAATTATTCAACAGTTCCTTGCCTCATCACCGTAGTCATATGATATTGTTGATTGTCTAACTGCGTTGTAATGTGACACATGCATTGTGAACAATCCAAGAAAGATACGAAACCCCTTCGACCGTCTCGAAATCGATGGCATTTTCAAAGAAAGCGTATATACTGACAGATGGAATAGAAAAAGATCATATAGGTCTGTTCAAGGAAAAGGTACTGGCTTAAAAAATGACTTATTTATCATAAAAAACCAACGTTTATAAGATAATCTGTAGTACCTTTCGTAATGACCAGATTTTGATTAGACTTAGCTTGTCAAAAGAGCCTACCTCTCATTGGGCAACACAACGATCCATTAAATGCTTTCTAGGATTCACAGCAATTTACCACCTGACTTTTTTAATGGTGTCGCCGTCTTCGCTAAAGCATTCCTTTCGAAACGATTGTCCACCTTTATTTTTTCGGTTATTTAACGATACAATGACCAAAATAGAACGCAATCTGTGGTCGGAATATCGGCGAACTAGATGTTACCACAAATATCGAATAGATCATGACTGGTAGAAATAGCACACTGGTGAGGCGTATGAATGATATGACATTACCTTGCTACGCACTTTTACAAAGAGTTATTGCTGGTGAGCTAATCGCTCGAGATGATCCAATATTTTCTTGATAACAATCTACCATATAACTGCTAAGTTGAGTAGTTGATGAACCGCCCGTTTTCACTAATTGTGCGGACCTCAACAGAATTTCCATACATTTCTCACTTGCGTAACTGTCGTCCATGGTGGTGGTCTGCTTCAAATATAGTGGCCTCTGTGAGGCCTATTCTGAATTCCTAAAATCCTTTCCAGCCTCGAATGAAGACGGTTGACGTTAGCCCCAACATGCCTGCCCATAGATAAGTAGGATTCCGGGAGGTCTCGACTCTTGCACTATTGGACTCCACTCCACTGTTCTTTTCGTCCACAAGTCATCTGTTCTGGCTATTATGTGACCGACTCATCTGTGCTTCGCCATAGATGTGTACTCTCTCGCATTTAGAACATGGAATAGATTTCGAAGTTCTGAGCTGTGCATTCCAGCTAGACTTCACCTGTTAAATTTCAGAAAATATCGCACAAGCGCTCTGTAGGTGGTGCGCAGATTTCTTGAAGTGGTTGAAGGATCAATTCACTTTCTGCTGCATAACAGAGCGTTAAGGATGACTAGTGAATCGAAACGGTGAGCACGGGGTTCTGGGTCCGTTAGTTTGCCAGTGGCATCCATAGTTGGCTGAAATGCTGCCCATGTTGCTCTCGGATTTTTGTCTAAATCCTCTTTCATGTCGTCTTCCATGTCCACTGATCTCTCAAAGTATATGGAAGAGGTGATCTTTGTAATAATAAAACCATTTAGTTCGATTTCTTCGCCTTAACACAAAGAGTTTTTACATCAGTTTAGCTATGGTCCTATTTACGCATAGTCCAATCTTCTATCCACTTTATCGAGTTTGTTGAACACAGTCACTTCTTTACTGGCACTCCTTGAAAAAATCATGACATCATCCTCGAAACGAAGATTTGACGAGATTTTTTCAACGATACATCTATAGCTTTAGTGCCAATCGACTGACTGCATTATTTCTCGCAGTGCGGCGGTATACAGCTTTGGCAGTATTGTGTCGCCTGGTTGAACTCGTTTTCCTGAAGGTGTGGTGAGGCGTCAGCAAAAAAACTGTACGCTTGTGTTTCATTTCTAATAACTGTTAACTAGGATCTTTATAAAGGATGGAACCACACCTTCGTCGACAATTGGTGATGGGATTGGATTTTTTTTTGCACTGTTAAACGCCTTCTTATAGACCACAGTTGTTGGAAAAAAAAAGCAGGTAGCACTCCCAACGGACTTCTATGATTTCTATGATCCGAACGTAATCCGTACCACAAAACCCCAAAAAATCCTGCTTGCTCAATTGGCTGTACTTTCTTCAAAGTTCGCTATACGCGAAGACATAGCCTTCGTAGACAACTTGTAGCGTAAAATCAGCAGCTATTGGATATGATGCACCACCGGTTCTCACTTCCACAGTCCGACATGCCATTTCGTCGGTGAAGCATTGAACAGCACCAGGTCCGGACAGGATAAGATCTGAAAACCTGGGGAATTTTCCACCAGTCCTCGCAGACGCACCAGCTTAACTCTTCACACGTCATAAACGGTTTATTTTGTTTTTCTTGGACGATGACAAGAGTTCTTTTCTATGTTATGGCTAAATCGAACCTTTCTACAAAGGAGACAGCGATCAAATCCTGTACAGAACCCAGGTATCACTGAGATGCCAAAGAGATACCATTTTTTGCTTTTGCGAAAATAGTGGACAAGTGCACATAAGATTCTTGCGAAAAACATACCGCCAGCAGTGTGCCGTGGTCAAGAGCGATGTTTATGTTACATATGAATGCTCTTTTGCTGTTTGTTAACTCAAGATAACATGTGGTCGTCGTGTTCAGTCACTTCTACTTCGACTCCGTTTCATCGTGTCGTTTGCGCCCAATTCGGTTGATGGAAAGCGGTTCTCTTTGGTTTGACGAATGGCAGCGCATGACCAGTTCTTTCCCATCACTCACCCACTGCTGATCGACAATGCCAGTAGGTAAGTACATTTATGCGGTTGCCCCTTGCTGTCTGTTAACTCAAGATAATTATTTATGACAAATTAGTCTACTTGAATCGTGCTTTTTTTCTTTAACTCATGACACTTACACTGGTCATGCTCCCTTTCATATAACAGGCATCGCAACTTATCCTTACTGTTCGATGCTGTGACCTGTTTGTTAAATCGTTTATTTGTGTGCTCAACTGCGTACCGAAGTCCACTATCCTTAAGATTCGGCAAATTTTCACCAGAATTAATTAATAAGGGAAGAAAAGAAAAATGACTTAGTAGTGTGCACCTCATATCTTTATACAACCATACGCGTCTATACACATGTATGTATA